ATGGGTAAATGGATAAAGTGGACAGCTCTCAAGCCAGAAGAGGACCCAAGCCCCAACAGAGTAAATAGTTGGCACTTTTGAGGGCCTTTCTCCACAGAGAAATCAGGTCCAGATGGCACAGAGTCAGGCAGCTTTATGCAGACCCTACTTTCTGAATTAGTCCTTAAAGATCAGTGATGTTAATATTCCAATAATAATGGTAGCATTTACCATCTACTGAATTCTCTGATGTACTGCATATTTCATTATCTTATGTGACCCTCGAAACAGTCCTATTTTATAGCTGAGGAAGCAGAGGCTCAGAGAGAGAAAGTGATTTTCCCACGGCCTCACGGCTGATGAACCCAAGAACAAGGAGTAAACCACATCTGTTGGACTCCGGAGGCTTTCTCCAGTCCTACTGTCCAGACAGGGCAAGAAGGAGGTTTCAGGGGAGTGAGCAAGGCGAGACATTCCAGAAACAGGACACAGCACAAGCAAGGCCCTGCGTGCTGGGAAGAGGTGCAGGGGCAGGGATGAAAAGTCCCTCAGCAGTCCAGTAAGGGCACCGAGTGACCCCAGGGACAGGGCTCTGCTGGCTCTGGGCTCTGAGGTGTGCCAGCCCAACAGAGAGCTGTTGTACTTGTTGATCTCAGCAAGTGTAACCGGGGCCAAGAGGCAGGAAGCAGGAGCTGATGCAGGCCCCGGCCCTGGCGCCAGGCTCAGGCACCCACAGAGGGCATTGTCCACGGGCAGCAGGCATAACGAGTTGGGGAGCCCAAGAGGGGGCATTTGCCTCTACGGAGAGGGAGACGGAGATGTGCCCAAGGGACTGGCAAGATCCCCACCAGGATGCCTCCCTGCCTCTTACAGCACCTCATCTTTAGGTATTTGGTACATTTGCAAACATGGCAGGATGGCAAATGCTCTTGTTTTGTTCCTCTTGACAACTCCAGGAAGGGGAGACTGACCAGGGCCAGGCCACACACTGAGGGCCTCAGGGCACTCACCGTCCCTCCCTTGTCCCACCCTCTGCCCCTCCCCCCCACACACACACACACGGACATGGGATTCAGCAACTGGCCCTCTCAGCTCTGAACCACCAGCCCAGCTTCTAAACTGAGTGGAGGAGCAAGAATGAGTCCCCAGATCATATCAAAAGGCTATGTTTGCAACCCACCCTCCCGACACTGGCCTGGGGTCACTGGGAAGAAGGACAAAGGGTGGTAAAGATCTTGTGGTCCTGACTAGAGAGACTAGGCCCAAGTCCCAGCTCTGGTAGCCCTGGCCACGGGACCTGGGGGCAAGTCAGCCACCTCTCTGAGCCTCAGATGCCCCTGGGAACCCCAGGGCAGGATGCCTGCCCATGAGTGACTTGTGCAGGTTAAGTGAGGCAAGGTTTGCACCCAGGCGGAGTGATGGGGGGCCCAGGGGACCGCTCATTTGTTCCTCTGGGGCACAGTCATGCCTTGTTATTCATTCATTCCACAAGTACTCAGTGAGATTCCTGAAGGCAAGGGCAAGGCAAAGCGGGGAAGTAACTATTGCAGAATGAATGACCAAAACCACATACTAAGTGCTTTCAGCAGCTGGGGAAGGAGCAGCTACAATTATCTCCATTTTACAGATAAAGGATGTTGAGGACCAGAGAGGTGAAGTACTTTGCCCAGGGCCACATAGCAAAGTAACCCAAATGGGATCCAAACCTATTCTGTTGAGTGAATTAATTAATGGAGATGCGTATCCTTGGATGCATTTAGGAATAAGCGATGGGCAAGGCTATTACTTCCTTCCCCCAGATCAGCTATCTAGACTAAAGTATGACCATTGCCTCTCTACAAAGACCCAGGCTATTACAAGAAGTAATAACAACAGCAACAACCATTCACAGTTATTAAGCACATACGCTGTGCCAGGACCTGTGCTCTAAGCATGTACACCGTGTTCCTCTTAGCACACTGGTAGGTAGGTGCTACTATTATTCCCATTTCACGGATGAAAAACTGAGACTTGGAAAGGTTAGGAAATTTGGCCCAAGTTGCCCTCCACTGAGTCAGGACTTGGACCCAGACTGTCCCCAGGACCTTGTGTATCTGCCAAGCTATAGAGACATCCCCTGATAGGTTTTAAAGTCCAAGTTCTGGTTTGAATCCTGGCTCTATCATTTGCTGACTATGCAAGGTGGGTTCCTCCTTGGTAACATTGGGATAATGATCCTGATCCTGGTGGGGACGAGAATCCACTGACATGAGCAGTGTAAAGCCTAGGGTGGCACCTGCCATGCTGTAGGCGCTTAATACATCCTCACTGCTATCGTCCCCCCAGGAGCAACTGTCCAGAAGGCAGGGAGCCCCTTCCAAAACCACACTGTGCCCGGTCCAGCTCCTCTGCCATGTGCCCCTGTGCCCCGCCCACTCCTCATGCCAGCCCAGACCCTCCTTTCTCCAAACCCCAGGAAGCTGGAGTCCCAAGGCTGTCTCCAGACAGGGATGTGGTTCACAGAAGCCACAAATATTTACTTTGGAGACCTCAGCCCAGCCCAAAGCCTTGAACCAAATGCAAAGGGTGACTTCCCAGACTGGGGCATGCAGGATATAAGGTTAGACTTCCAGGCCCACTGTCCAGTTGAGGAGAGGAGCATCCTGAGGACTCCGGCGTGTCCAGGTAAAAGTGTAGGGAAGGGGCTGAAAGCCTAGGGCACCAGAAAGGTTCTAAGCTGGAGACACCTGTTGCAGTCAGGTCAAGAGCAAGACAAAAACTTGACCCTGAGGTAAGGTTCCTTAGTCTACTAGGACCCTCTGAGGTCAGGATCAGGGGTAGAGATGTGCTCAGCCCCCTTGCCCAAAAGACCAAAGAACAATGATGAAGGAATTGGACTGGCTAAGTCTTTCCCTAACCTGATCTCAGTGACTTAAACCTACCCTGCACACACCAATTGTTCTGTGCCCAGCCTATGCTGGGGTGATTCTGGGGACAAGGAGGAGCATCAGACTAACCTGGCCCTCAAGTTATTCCCAGTATGGGTCAGTGTGGTACATGCTGTGCTCAGGGAAAGACCAGGGACATTGTGGTAAAGGGCAGTCAGGGAAGGCTTCCTGGAAGGGGTAGCACATCAGTTGAGAGCCAAGCAGAAGTTGGCTGGACAAAGGAAGAGAGGAAGGCATCCCTCTGTAAAGGGAACAGCCTAAGCAAAGGCCAGGAGGTGAGATATGATGCGGTGATTGTGTACATGGTGCTTGGATTTGGGGAGGAGACACTTTTCCACAGGAGGAAATGCTGCCCTACTATCGGCTCTCTGAGGACCTCTGATCAGAGGACCGACTGGTGTGCAAAGATAGTGAAGAACAACAGGGTCAAGGTGCTTGAAAGAAAAAGATTATGGAGTGGGGGTGGGGGGCTTCCCGAGCAAAAGGGTGCAGGGCATTACCTCTGTCTTCTGGCTTTGACTGCAAGATGGTTTCTTCTGACCCCAGCATTAGCGATACTGTCATAATCATAATAATAGCTAACACTCATTGAGCTCTTGTGGCTCATTTAATCCTCCCAACAACCCTGTGATATAAGTACTATAATTATCCCTTATTTTACAGATGGGAAAACTGAGACTCAGAGAGGGTAAGGCACTTGCCCAAGATCACACAGCAAGTGGTAGAGGCAGGCCTCCAGCTCAGGTCTATCTGACCCCAAGGCCCATGATATTTCTCTTCCACTCTCAGTCCCCATGGCCCAGACCTGCTCAGTTTAGCAGGCTCAGATTCCCCATTTTTCCAGGATTCCCAGAGGCCATTCATTCATTCAGCAACCACTTACTTAGTAAACACCCACAGTGTGCCAGGCATTATGGCAGGCGCTTGGAGTGCACAACGGGGTCCAGCTAGACCAAACACCTCCTCCTGGAGCTTACAGCCCAATCCAAGAGACAGATGTTGAATCATTACAGCAAATGGCTCAGAGAATTCATGTTGTTCCATCCAAGAGATACATGTCATCCAGAGGCTGTGTTTGTCTTTGGCAACAAGAAGCTCACATGCTGAGCCAAGGAAGGACTCAGCTCTCCAGGTCAGCATCTTCCCTCCCTCCAAGCAGGATAGCCTACAGAGGCAGAAGCTTCCCTGGCTGAAGCTTGGAGGCAGAGCCAGGGTATAAGCTGAGAGCTCAGGACCAGCTGACAGGGGCTGATGCACTGCCCCATGGTGGAGAGGGGGGGTGGCCAAGGAGTGAGAATACCCCAAGGTCCTCTCCCAGGAGGCACCCACAGGCCTCTTCCTCTCTCTGCCTTTCTCTCCTTGGCTCCAAGCAGCCACCTATTCCCATCTAAGGCCCTTTAGTATCAAGCAAACACCTTTCCTGCCACCCTGCATCCTACCTGAATACCCATTGCCCTCTTGCCTCCAAACTTCCTGTGCTGGGCAGACAGCAGCCCCTCAGGCAACATTTCTCCGTGTGTAGTCCAGGGTCTCTGGCTGCAGGAGAGGGAAACTACAGAGAAAGGGACATGCGGGCAGAGTTCTGAAAGATGAATTAAGAGTTCAGCAGGCAGATAAGGAAGAGGAAAGTACCACAGGAAGAGTTAGAACACAGACACAGGACAGAACACGGTATGTTCTGGGAACTTCAAGAAGTTTGGGATGATTGGAACTTCATCAGGAAAAAAGCAGGAGGTGAAGTTGGCTACGGTTGGACTCTGGAGGGTTCTAAGTGCCAGACCCTTTGAAGGAGGGCACTACTTCATCATGCCCATTTGCCAGGTGAGAGAAAACAGGCCCAGAGAGGCTAAGCTGATTGTCCAAGGCCACACAACTAGCACCCAGCAGCAGAGACAGGACACAGACCCAATGGTCAGGCTCCAGAGCCCACACTCTTAACCACTTTGCTCAATAGCCTCTTCTAGACTTTCTGCCCCAAGTCACCAGGCATGGCAGGCTTGCCCTTCACCTCTCTTCCCAGCTAACAGGTTTCTTCAACTGTGCTCACCCCAGGTTCCTTCACCTGCCACCTGCTGCTCACCGATCCCCACAAAGATGGCTGGCCCATTCGCCTTCACCCTCCTCTGTGGTTTGCTGTCAACTACTTTGGCTGAAACCACCCTCAACCCCCCTGCAGTGCTTAGCCTCAGCCGAGAAGTCATCAAAGAAAGTAAGTCTCAGGGCCCCTGGCTGGCTCAATCAGTTAAGTGTCTGACTTGATTTTGGCTCAGGCCATGATCTCAGAGTAGTGGGGCCGAGCCCCATGTTGAGCTCCACACTAAGGGTGGAACCTGCTTGAGATTCTCTCTCTCCTTCTGTCCACCCCAACCAAAAAAAGAAAAAGAAAGCAAGTCCGGGCCACCCAGGCCTTACCACCATAAGGCAAGAAGGCAGGCGGAACAGCCCTCCAAAGGAGGGAGGGAGTTCCCCATCACTGGGAGTGTGCAAGGCACAGCTGGGATCCCAGGTCTAGGGTGAGACTCAAGTGGCTGGGAGTGTCTATGATCCCAAGAGTCCACGATTCTAAGATCCACCCTTCAATTCTATGATTCCACTGGGCCCCCTCCTTCTTTATGTCCCTCTAGACCCTTCACTGACAAGGCTTAACATCCATTACCATGGAGTAGACCAAAGGTTGGCTTTGTTGTTGAGAGGTAGTAACACACAGGGACTCTAGGACACAGTAGGGGATACACTTGGGTCATCCTGCCAGAGAGTTAAGGGAGCTGGGGTATTTATATTCCTATCCTCATCAGTCATGGGCTGAGGACTGCTTCTGGAGTTGCTTCTGGAGCACTCAGCACTTCTGACCTGCTCTTCACACAAGCCAAATGGGCTCTGGATGCCCAGGGAAAAGTCCAGCAGGGACCATAACTGAAGACTCCTAACTTCTCCTATCTCAGTTCAGTACCTGAGACTCTCTGGACAACAGGCCCATATGACATGGGAGCCAGAGAGTTATTAGCAAGTATGTTTTGGCAGCAAAACAGCCCGCAACAAGGCCTTGTGGGTTCCCTGCCTCTTGGGTCCAGAGAGTTTGCTGCTGGCTAGTGGGAGGGATTCTGGTCAATGCTCCCACAGAAGCTGGCAATGCTCAAAGGGGTAAATGGTCCCACCTATGTCCCCACCTGAGTGTTTATGTGAAAATGACCTATCTGGACCATCGTCCTCAAAGCCACATCTCCACAGTAGATGGTCAGGATGGAGCCATCCATCTCCCAGCCTTATGTCTGGGTCCAGGTAGCCCTGAGTGATGCCCCCTCCCAGCCTGAAGCCACTGACAAGCCATCCATCTTGTCCCTCCTGCTGGACCCTAATCTCTGGGATCTGCCTCCAGGGCTGACACAGGAGCTGAAGGACCACAACGCCATCGACATCCTCCAGAAGCTGCCACTGCTCAGCAGCATACGGGAGAAGCCAGCTGGGGGCATCCCCATACTAGGCAATGTGGTGAACTCCATCCTGAACCACATCATCTGGTACGTGGAGCAGAACCAAGTGGGGCGCTTTCTCCTTCCGCAAACCTCTGCCCAGGACACACTTTGCCTATTCAATTGACCAGTTGACAAGCATCACCTGGTATCAACTCGGTGTCTAACCAAGAAAAATGGATCAAAGTCCCTCCTTCTGAAGCTCCCAGAGGAGCTAACAATGACACAGGAACCCTAACAGGGTGACCCCGAGGGGAAGGTTGCCTGGGGTGGGATAGTGAAGGGGGAAGATGACACTTCTCAGTGGAGGTGACAGGTGAGCCAATGAGTCCGCGCTCACCAGGAGAAAAGAAGAAAATGGCATTCTGGGGAGTGGGAGCAGCCTGGGCCAAGGCCCAAAGGGGTGAGAGTCCCAGAACAGCTGGCACTCAAACCCCAAGGTAAGGACTGAGAGGTCAGTGGGGCCAGGTCACGGAGGGTCTTCCAAGTCAGCCCAGGGATCTGGGATTCATCTCTTAAGTGGCAATGAGCCATGGGAGGATTTCTCACAGTGGTGGAGGGGACAAATGGGGGCCATACCATGCTGAGGAGGAGCCATGGACAGGGCTTAGGTCCAGTTGCTGGCTGGACACCACTGGCAGGGGCACCAGGGGACACAGGGAAGAGTCAGGGGGCCTGTTTGGGAATGATGTTCAGTTGAGCATGAGACATGAATCTAATCTCTCCCACATCCCATCCAGGTTGAAAGTCACCTCAGCCAACATCCTGCAGCTGCAGGTGGAACCCTCAGATGAAGGCCAGGCGCTGACGGTCAAGATCCCCCTGGACATGGTGGCTGGACTCAACACGTGAGTGTCTCCCCCAGTCAGATACAGCAGCCCTCACAGGATCATTCACGCATTGCCCCTTTTCTCCATGCATATATCTGGTAGAGAGTCCCAAGCAGAGGGAAGAGCAAGTGCAAAGGTCCTGAGGCAAGAGTCCATTGACCTGAGACACTTGCTTTGTCCAAAGAATGACAAAGAGGAGAAAGGCGGGGGGAAGAATAGTGGCAGGTGAGATCCTTGTGGGGCCTTGTGGGCCAAGGTAAAGACTTGGCTTTTGCTGAGTGAAATGAGAGCCATGGAGGGTTCTGAGCAGAGGAGGGACATGACATGATTGAACTTTCAAAGAATCCCTCTGGTTGCTGTGTTTGGAAGCAGGGAGGCCATCCAGAAGTTTCTGTTATAATTTGGGGAGGGAGACAGTAGTGATGGCTTGGACCAGTTTGGGCACAGGAAGGTGGTGAGAAGTGCTCAGATTCTGAATATGTTTCAGAGGTAGGTAGAGGCAACCGGCAGGATGGAGTGGCCAGCAACCAAGATAGGAAAGATCATGAGAGGAGTGGGTTTGGGGAAGGAGCCGGAGTTCAGTGTGTGTGTTTTAGAGAGACAGAGGAGCTTGAGCTGGGAGGTGAGAGAACCAGAAGACTGAGATAGCCGGCAGGTTGCTCCGATCTGGAGCTGAGACAGTGTGGGCACCTCTACTCCCAGGCCCCTGGTCAAGACCATCGTGGAGATGCACATGGAAACAGAGGTCCAAGCCATCATCCGAGTGAACACCAATGAGAGGGGCCACGCCCACCTCGTCCTCGCTGACTGCTCCACTAGCCAGGGGAGCCTGCGCATCAGCCTGCTGCATAAGTGAGTGTGGTCGCCTCCCGCCGGGCTCCCACCATGCCTGGGAGGAAAGCCAGGTGGTATTCTCAGATGGAGAACACTGTGGCCCAGAGAAAGAAAGGGACTTACCCATCCTGATTCTTGAGCTGAGGCTCCTTTCAGGGAATCCGTGATACCAAAGAACGTTCAAGACATCAAGAGCAGAAACATAGTCGGTGGGATTTCAGGCATCCTGCCAGGAAGTGGGGCAAATATTTGAAAGTGGAGAGGAGCCACATTCTTAGGGCCCCTCAAACCACTTCAGGCAGGCGTGAGGGGAGCCAAGCGTAAAAACATGCTTTGGCATCAAGCAAATGCATCACCTTCATTTATTGTCTGTGTGCCACTGGCAAGTTGCATCCCTATGACTCAGCTTCGAGGCCACAGTGAGAGGATGAGGTTAGGCTCCAGCCACAAACACCCAGCACCACACATGGCACACAGCATGGGACTCCCCTCCACTTTGCCTTAGTGGGAGGATGGGGAGAGAGCCAATGCCACCATCCCAGTACCCAGCATACGTTTCTATAGACAACCTCCAGCTTCTACTCCCTGACAACTCTCTGCCACCATCTACACCTGGCTGGGGGAGTCTACTCCCAGCTCTGTCTGTAACAGGGTGTGTGACCTTGAGCAAGTCACCCTCCCCTGGGCTCTATCTTCCCTTATGTAAAATAGCATCATCTCTGACCCTTCCTAATCTCTCTCCCCTTCTCCTCTCCGGAAGGCTCTCCTTCCTGGTCAACTCCTTAGCCAACACGGTCATGGACCTCCTGGTGCCAGCCCTGCCCAAACTGGTGAAAATTCAGGTGAGTGGAATCAGGGCCTCTCTGGCCTGCAAAGATGGCTCCCCCTGTGGGGCTGGGGTGGAACTGCAAGTTGATGCTCAGGGACCTGTGTCTCCCTGAGTGGGAAACTTATAGGCCTGACCATTCTTTCAGTGGATCGTGGAGCTAAAGGTAACAGAACTGCCAAAAGTCACCCAGGAGACCCTGAACAGTGACGTACTGATAAATCATTAACTGGCTCTGAGGAGGTTGAGTGGAAGGGACCCTGATTTGTAGCACTTGCTGATTTCTCTGGCATAAACACTTGCTCCAAGGCCAATTTCAAGCTTCTCGCGTGAGATCACTAAGCAGAGTTGGTAAGAAATGCCCCGCAGCACACTATTGTATGGTTCCACCACACAGATGTAATTGACATAAATAACCTCCAGAGCAAAAATAGTAAAATATAACAAAATAATTAGGAGGTAATGAGTTTTAAGTTCTCATTAGCTTTGCTTTTAGTATAATTAATTTAGTTGTAAGTTTATATAATTGAATTTTTAATAAGGTTTAGGTTTAGCTCATGGCTCAGAAATTCCTGAAAATTTAACACGTGGCCCTCACCAAGTGGTACAAGCTGGCGCAAGCATACCGGTGTCTCGTAACAACCCATGGTCTTCAGGGGTCCATCACCCACCAGGCCTTGCTGGGTTTATTTTTCTGAGTCAATAAACAAGTTAATCTCAATTTAGATGTCCCTTGTATGTCATGGGTGAACTAAAACTGTAACTTTGAGCACTGATTTCCACTGTAAATTCCAAGATGGGTTCACCACAGTGAGCCTCCTGGGGTTCGAAACACCTTGTCAGATAACTAATGATCTGTTTATAATAAAACTTCTTTGAATTGAAAAGATTATATAATAACTCAAATGACTTTGGGGGGAAAATGCCCTTAATCCTTCCATCTTAACATGGCAGCCGTTTCCTCCCTTATATCTATACGCCTTCCAATCTCCACCCACATGCATTCATATTTTTATGTGGTTGTCCTCAGTGTCAATATAATTTGATATTCCCTAAGTTATACCTATGTTCTATGCCACTGTGTAAGATTCATAATTACTGTAATAGCTGCATCATATTGAATACTTTACTAAACCATTCCAGAGAGATTTCTAAGAGGAATCTGAAAAGTGAAGAATTCTGTAAAATTTGTCTTTTCTTACATGAGATATTTTTTCTTTTATGAATTCTTTTCTATTTAAAGGTGGGATTTTATTTTATTTTTTTAAGATTTTATTTATTTATTCATGAGAGACACTGAGAGAGAGGCAGAGACACAGGCAGAGGGATAAGCAGGCTCCATGCAGGGAGCCCAATGTGGGCCTCAATCCCCGGATCCCGGGATCACAATCTGAGCCAAAGGCCGGCGCTCAACCACTGAGCCACCCAGGTGTCCCTCTTTCTTTATTTTAGAGAGAGAAAGGGAGAGAATGAGAGGGCAAGTGGGAGGGGCAGAGGGAGAGAGAGAAACTCAAGCAGACTCTGTGCCAAGTGCAGAGCCAAATGTGGGGCTCCATCTCCCCAGCCTGAGATCACAACCTGAGCTGACACTTAACCAACTGTGCCACCCAGGTGCCCCTAAAAGTGGGAGTTTCTTAAAGTAGCATCCAGCTGGAAATTTTTTCCCAGCCTCCAGCAAAATCATATTTTAAATGGCATCATATTTTATTAACTAAAAATGTATTTTCCACTAGAAAATATGGCAAATGCTGTTTGCCTAATATCTGTTTTTAAGGGTGAAAAATCATGTATAATGAATGATATGAGAAAGCTGGGGTTCTCTTAATCACCATTATTTTCCACCACGAGTCAGTGAGTTTGGTACAAAGGTCATATTTTACTTAAAATGAAGGGGAAAGGCGCACTATGTTTAAATCTGTCAGGAGCCCATCTAGAAAATGCCGATGCCCTTTTCAACGTAAATATGTGTGTCCCAACCCTAGCTGCACATCAGAACCACCCAGGAAAGCTTTTAAAAGTACTAATGGAGATTCCAATGTAATGGACCTGGGTGGGGCCATAGTACTCCAAAGGATTCTAGGTGCTTTCCTGGAGAATTCTAATGTGTAGTCAGGGTTGAGAGACACTGGTGGGAGTGCAAGAGAGGTAATTCTGAGAGATGATGCCAAGGTCGCCAGCGACACCTCTCCCCCGAGGAACAGGCTGGCCCCTAACAGTGAATGCTGGGGGTCTCCAACCCCCAGTCCTCCATCCTCCCTGGGTTCTGGGTTAGCAGAGCAGTTAGAAGCAGGGAATGGGTTTTTCATAGAAAAAGATCATAGAGAACTTTCATAGAAAAAGTTTCTCAAAGTGCACTGTCCTTTCTCAAGAGTATTGATGGGTGGTCAACTGGAAGATTCTTCCACTGGGGATATTGTATCTAAGGCAAATGACAGAATCAGCGCACCACCCCAGAAAACGGGCTGCCTAGAGCAGAGAGCAAGACTCTGAGGTTTGTGGGGTTTTTTTAAGATTTATTAATTATTTATATGAGAGACAAAGAGGGAGAGCATGAGCAGGAGGGACAGAACAAGAGGGAAGACAGAATCCCAACTAGACCCCACTATGCATAGAGCCTGATGCAGGGCTCAATCTCACAACCCTGAGATCACAACCTGAGCAGGAACCAAGAGTCAGACGCTTAACCAACTGCACCACCCAGACACCCTGAGAACAAGACTCTTGAGTCCCACAAGCAAGTCAAAGGCTTAAACTCCTCCTTCAGCAAAACCGGTGAAGCCAGGATTAGGTGAGGCCAGGGTTGCTCACCCTCCACATTATTGACATTTGGGTCATATAATTCTCTGTTGTGGGAGCTGTCCCGCACACTGACGGATGTTTAGTGGCATCCCTGGCCTCTAGCCACTAGATGCCAATAACACCTCCCCCAAGTTGTGACAACTAAGAGTGTCTCCAGAAACTTCCAAATGGGGACACCTGGGTGGCTCAGTGAATGGCTGAACATCTGCCTTTGGCTCAGGTTGTGATCCTGGGGTCTGGCATCAAGTCCCACATCAGGCCTTCTGCAGGGAGCCTGCTTCCTCTGCCTGTGTCTCTGCCTCTCTTTCTGGGTCTCTCATGAATAAACAAAACCTAAAAAAAGAAAGAAACTTCCTAGGCAACAGAATCAGCCCCTTGCTGAGAACTGCTATAAATTTTAGGGGGAAGAAAAGCTCAGGAGGTAAAGGGATATGTTGGATCTAGAAACCCACAAAAGGCACATAGGTTGTTCATGAGTCTTGCTGGCTCTGCCTTGCCAGCCCCCGTTCTAGAGTCTGACATGCAGAAGGAACTCAGTAATGACTGGTCGACTAAGGAACTGAATTAGGAAACAAATTCTCCATTTCCCTCTCATGGAAAACATGGGCTCTCGTGAACAGGACAAGGAGTTGATGGGGAGGGCAGCTGGCCAGCCAGGTACACTCCTGGGCACAGGGTAAGGGACAAACCACTGCAAAAGATCCCAGGCCACGCTGGGGGCCGGGGTGGACTCTGAATGGCAGGAATGGCTGGCAGAGTGGACACAACACCAAGTTGTCAATCCCATGAACAAAAGACTGGCTGGATGGGCCAAGTGTGGGTCATTGTGGGGTTATGTTCTGGCCCCTCAATAATGGAGCCTCTGCATTTGTGCTGTTGCAGCTATGTCCCGTGCTCGAGGCAGCCTTTGAGGACATGCATGCAGACCTCGTGAACTTGCTGAGGGGTAGGTGCTCTGCTCTCTCCCACCTTTTTCCCTTACTGCTGAGCCAGCCACCACATCCTGGCTCTGCCCAGGAGAGGCCTCCCAAGTCAAGGCTGAGCCGCAACCTGGCCCAGTAGCAAGTGCAATGAGCATCTAGGAGTCCCTCTCAAAGATGAGCAGACAGGAATGCACCAGGAATGCACCACACCTGTGACTTCACACGTACCTACTCTGTGCAAGTTTTTGTGTGAGTCAGATTTCCAGGTTCAAATCCCAGCTCTGCCACTGACTTGCTCCGTAGCTTGGGAAAGCCACCCCACCTTCCTATCCTCATCTATAAAATGGGGTTTCCTATACCACCAGATTGTTAGGATTAAAAGTTTACAGGGAAGTTCCAGGCAGGTAGCAGATGCTCTACCTGCATGGAGCAGTGGGGTTTTGTTGTTGTTGTTGTTGTTTAAATATTTTATTCATTTATTCATGAGAGATACAGAGAGAAAGGCAGAGACACAGGCAGAGGGAGAAGCAGGCTCCACGCAGGGAGCCCGATGTGGGACTCGATCCCGGGTCTCCAGGGTCACGCCCTGGGCCGAAGGCAGGCGCTAAACCGCTGAGCCACCCAGGGACCCCTGCACAGAGAATTGTATACAAATGGAGCTGAATGGATGAACAAATGAATGAGTGGATGAGACGGCAATTACTGCAGCCTATTAGAGAAGAGAAGACAAGGGAGGAGGCGAGACGCGTGCTCAGGAAGGAGGCCATTTCTCCCTCCCTGAGAGTAGCAGAGATGGGAAGACTCAGGCTTCTGTGCAGACCTCACAACTGCGCTGTGCTCAGAGCTCCCAGAGTGGGAATTAGTGGGAAGAAGAAAATTCTACCATCCGCTGTCTCAAGATCTGAAGCAGCTCAGCCAGAAGATGACCAGGGAGGAGGGGAAGAGGAGAATGGAAGCAGTACGCAGTGAGCACCCAAAGAGCACCTACTGGGCTGGGTCTCACTGACTCCTCAGATAACTCCATGAAGTAGCCATCAGCATCCCACCTCATAGATAAGAAAGTGGAGGCTCAGAGAAATTAAGTCATTTGTCCAAGTCCACAGACGAAAGTAGTCATAGGGGAAAGCTTGAACCCAGTTCTGTAAGTTCCAAGTGTGGTGTAAGTCAGATATGAGCCAACCTAAGTAGGGACCAGTCCTGTACAACCTATGAGGCAGGTATTTCTATTATATCCACCCTGGTTTTAAGATGAGAACATTGAAGTTCAGAGGTAGGAATAGAGTAGCCAAGGCTCTTGAGGCTCGAACAGAAGTCTCTCTGGCTCCTCTGCTCCTCAGGGGCAGGGCAGGACGTTTCCCCAGGGGAGCAGGTGGTCCAAGGATTCACCCTCCGCCTGTCCCTGAACTTCTGTGCAGCCCTCCCCATTCTCCGCTCAACAGCCAGGGCAGCTGAGACACCACTGCCACCTGCTGGCCATGAGAGGAATCCTCAGGGGAACACAAGCGAGCCAGGGCACAGATGGGCGTGCACCAGCAACGCTGTCCTGCTAAGGGGTGCAGATCGTGGTCCACTGGAGGAGGCAGAGTTATAAACAATAGTTCACTCTGGTTCCAAACCAGGACGTTGGCATCAAACCAGGACGTTGGCAAACTGGGTTCAAAATCTGTTCATTCTATGACCTTGAGCAACTCATTTTGCTTTTCTGAGCCTGTTTCCCCATCTGTAAGGGGGGAACCTCCTAATGTTATTGTGAAAACTGAGTGTGAACTTTAGCACAGTATGTGGTGCCTGACAGATGCTTGATAAAAGTCATTCTTATCATCATTATCATTGTCAGCATCGTTATTTCCGCTCCTCCCTACTGACCCCCAGGCAATAATGCAGCTTCAGCCAAAAGCAGCCCCCAAAGCACACCATCCAATGCTGCCCTCCTGTCTCACAGAACTTTCTTCTTGTCCCTGAGCAGTGCCTATTTCCTTCAGCTCTGACCGCCTGGAGTTTGACCCTCTGTCTCCTGCCATCAAGGGTAATGTCATCCAACTCAAGCTGGGGGTGAGTGTCACGGGACCTCAAAAGTAAAGTAGAGATAATCACTGCTCTTCTCTGATTGCCAAGGATTAGACACCATTGGTCTGTTTCAGGGCAGAAAACACCACTCACAGCTAGGGCACACAGGCTGATTTAGAAACTCAGCAGGCCGAGTACAGTCCCATGTAATCCATCCTGATGGAGGAACACCAGCAGGTGGAATCCAAAGGCTCCACACAGAACATCGGTCCCAGAGATCTGCCCTCCCACTCTGGTTTCCCCAGTCAGAGGCCAGAGTCGGCACTGGGGTTCTCAGCCTTCCTCTTAGGCAAGCCCCTGCCAAACCCCAAATATCTGATTACCTTGAAACAAGAGCCCAGGATCAGGACCCATCCCTGGAGGTCACACAGACCTGAGTTTCTCTCTCAGCCTCACAACTCCCTGGCTGTGTGACTTCAGGCAAATTCTATCACTTCTCTGAGCCTCTCTCCTCATCTGTAAAATGGAGACAATAATAGTCACCAAGGGGAAGGTGAAGTGAGGCTGCACAGGGCCCAGCAGGCAGGAGGAACAGCAGGAACCCTCTGTGAAATGTGGGGCTGTGCAATTATCCTGGGGCTGGGGTCCCTGAGGGACCAGGAGAGCCTGGACAGCGTGAGGCCCAGAGCCATTTACTTGGTTACTCCAGGCAACTGCTGCAACCAAACATTTTCATCACTTTGGTTGCAGTTTTGAATTGTCCCTTCATCCGAAGGGTTTGTGAGGTCTCTGAGAGGTCAAAAACCTAAATGCCAAATAGGACATCTGGGTTTTACAGAATCAGAGGTTAACTGAAGGGTGCTGGTGGAGTCGCTGTCGTCAGCCACCTGAGATCACTCACCACCTCAGGAAGGCCCTGAATTCCAGGCTGAGCTCCCTGTCAGCAAAGGCACAAAGGGAAATAGGCCAAATGGTGTCATTGTCTTCGAGGTTATTATTGGGTACATTTTTGGAGTTCAAGTTTCCAGCCAACCATCTGCTTTGTGTCTTCTCAGGCCAAGTTGTCAGACTTCCAGGGAAATGTGACCAAGTGGTTCAATGAGTCTGCAGTTTCCCTAACGGTCCCCTACCTGGACACCACCCCTTTCAGCCTCACCGTGAGGCAGGATGTGGTGAATGCTGTGGTAGCTTCCTTGCTCCCTCCAGATGAACTCGTAGTCCTGGTGGACTATGTGGTAAGTCTTGGCACAAGAGGATGGGGCCCCCTCTGCTACATCATGGGAATTTCCCAAATCAAAAGGGTTCAAGGACTGCCCTAAGCCTCTGAGTAGTAATCCTTTGTCAGGCTCAGTTTAAGTCCCTCCAGTAATTGAGAGCTCACTCCCTCCTCTAACAGATAGATTATAGCTCTAAAGCTAGAAATTTCCTTATAAGATCCAGCGCCAGTCCTAGTCCTACTCTCTAGAACCTGATACAACTGCCTCCTCTACCAATTAACAATCCCATTGAGCCAAAGGGCATCTTAGATAGTGAGTTGTCCAAGGATAGCAGTCGTGCCCACTGTCCACTGTGGGGCCTGTGGCAGACATCACTGATTGATCAGGGCCCTCCTTACTATGGAGCCTGGATGCCGACATGGCCTCGGAATCCTTGTCAACCCAGCACAGCAGATAACTATCACCAGTCAACTGGAGTGTGCTACCTCCTCCAGAGTGGACCAGTGGGGAAACTGAGGGGTTGACCCAAAGTTAGTATGCTGAGAAAAAGGGAATGATCACCAGCAACCACATTCATGACTATAGTAAGAACTGGGTCACATCTCCATGTCCTCAGCCCAACACCCACAAACACCAACAACCCATAGTGAAAGTCCAGGCTGGTGAGGATCCTATGCCCCACAGCAGCTGATGCAGAGGTTGTTTTCCACCAGCGACGGTCTTGGGGCCTGGACCATCAGATCCACCCAGCTTTCCTGGGGTTGTGGGGATCCAGGCAGTGGGACTATGGGAGCATGCCTCCCCTATCCCCTCTAGCTGACCTGCTCTGCCTCCCCCTCATCCTCAGCTTCCTGAGCTGGCCCGCCGGTTGAAGTCAAACATCAAGACGATCAGTGAGAAGGTTGGTCCACCTGCCATCAGCAGTTTGATGGCTGCTTGCTGTGGTCTGTCCACTGACCTCCGGGGAGTAAAATGCGTGTGGGACTGCTCGGTTTCCTTCCAGCACTAGTGTCTGCTGTCCTCACAGAGCGTTCAGTCTAATGGCATCAATTACACAGATGATATTTCAGTTACAAGTGTGGTAACAAAGGATAGATTCCAGGGGTTCCGAGGGCATGACTGGGGCACCTAATATAATCCAGGAAATGAGAGAGGGCTTCCCTGAAGAGAAGAGTATTCCTGCCGGAGGGAGAGGTAAAACCAAAGGCTGTGAGATGGGGATACCAACAATCCACTCCAGGACGGGGCAGAAGGATGGTGGCTGCAGCAAGAGAGGAAGTAGGGAGGCCAGGAAGGTGGCTGGGGGGCCAGGCCACAGCAGCTGCACGGGGCCCTGGTGAGCCCTTGGGAGGCCCCATGTGGATCTGATGTCTCTCCAGGCTGCAGATCAGCTGGGACCCACACAGATGGTGAAGATCCTGACTCAGGAGACCCCAGAGCTCCTTCTGGACCAGGGTAGCCCCAAGGTGGCCCAACTGATAGTGCTGGAAGTGTTCGCCACCAATGAAGCCCGCCGCCCCTTCTTTACCCTGGGCATTGTGAGTTCACTTGTCTGTGGTGTGAGCAGCAAACTGGGGCCCCTCCTGTGCCTGTTCACTGTACTGAGCACCCTCTTGCTTTGCTAATTGTTTCCACCACTCCCGTCGCCCAGTTGGAGGCCCAACTCCGGTCCTGTGACTTTATTAGTTAGGATCTTTGGGCAGAAACTTAATTCACATGTACAGAAGGAACTGTATTAGCTCATATAATGAAAAGTCCAGGGATCCCTGGGTGGCGCAGCGGTTTGGCGCCTGCCTTTGGCCCAGGGCGCCATCCTGGAGACCCAGGATCGAATCCCACGTCGGGCTCCCGGTGCATGGAGCCTGCTTCTCGCTCTGCCTATGTCTCTGCCTCTCTCTCTCTCTCTCTCTCTCTCTCTCTCTCTCTCTGTGTGACTATCATAAATAAATAAAAATTTAAAAAAAAAAAAAAAAAAGAAAAGTCCAGATGGCCTAACCAAAAATAGCCAGTTTCAGGTGCTCCAACAATGTCATCTTCATTCTTCTCTTCCCATCTGGCAATTTTGTTTTCCTAAGTACCACCTTCATCCTCAGATAGATTATCCAAGGGCCCCCGGCTGATAATATCCTATCAGGTTGACAACATCAGTTGGAAGAGCCTTTCTGCCCCTATGTTTGACACAAGTCCTGAAAGAAACAGCCTTCTCTCATTGCAGGAAGCCAGCTCAGAAGCTCAGTTTTACACCAAAGGTGACCGACTTATGCTCAACTTAAATGAAATCAGGTAAACACATAAATCATTGTTTCACCACCTTGTGACCAATGGGTTTCTTTAAACACCCAGTGTTTCAAACCTCCATATGTATGAGCATGAAGTAAAGGTTACTCTGGGAGGTGTAGAAAGGAGACCTTGCCTGGACTGTCCTGCTGTGGGAACCAAATATCAGAGAAAAGGGAGGAAAGAAAAGCAGCCTTGCAGCAGCCATGGGACAGGCTGACCCCAGCCGTGGGAACAACATGCCCAGTACCATCCCCTCATCTCATTCCGGACAACTCCAAGACACTGGAAGTGACAGTCAAGCCCCGATGCTGACCCCCATGAGCCCAGCCCAGAAGCACAGGGCTCCAGCTGCCTTTTGCACCTCTGCTCACCTTCTCCCCACATCCTGCAGCCCTCTTGCTGCTATGGCAAAGGGAGTTCAGGGGTTGCAAACTCAAGCCTTGTGGGACAAATCAAGCCCTACCTAGTAGGTGCTCCATAAATAGTTGTTGAATGAATGAATGAATTCTCAAGGGCATCTTCTGTTGCAGCTCTGATCGGATCCACTTGATGAACTCAGGCATTGGCCTGTTCAACGTGAGTATTAATAGATCATCCCTGGGGCACAGGGGCCAGGATGGTCCATTGAAAAAAAAGAAACATTGACCAAGATTTGCTTGGAACCAGGTTGCCATAGGCAGCTCCATGATGGGCTGGCCAACCTCCATGTTATCTGTTACAAAGTCCTACCTCTTGGCTCTGGTGTTTACTGAGCACCTACTATATGCAGGACACAGCTGAGAACACACAATCACAGATACACAGATACACATTCACTTTTCTTCTGTAACATTTTGATCTTTCATCAAAAACCAAATCCCTTCTTTTCGCATTCTCATTTTGCTCATGTAGACTCACTTCACCTCAGTGACCTCTGGTCAGCCTCTGTTTCCCCAGCGGAGTCAGAGTGGATCAGAGATCTCAGACTGGCTAAATCCTGTCTTCTTGCAAGGTTTTGTTTTGTTTTTTGGTCCACGTGTTTTGTTCCATTATCTTTCATTTTTTATTTAGTATTTTATTTATTTTTTGTCTAATTTTTAAGTGAAGAGGTTCCCACATGATAATCAGAACTTTGACTTCACTGGAGAAGTCAAAACTCAGGAAACTGGGTGAAATTCCCTCGGAACAAATTCAGCTAGAACACAGCAGTGGAGCCCCTGAGGGTGGGGGTTCATCCCCCTAATGCTCCCCAATATCCCCCCATGCACTGGGAGTCAGCTGGACCTGTTTGCCCCCAGCCTGTCTGGTCCTGGGAACCCTCTCAGCTCTGAATGGCAGTACCCTGGGATTCCAGCATCTCCCCTGATTGCCCTGGCCATGGGGCCGGGCAGGACCCATTTTAGGAATGACTTGGGGGACTTGAGATCCTCAGCCAGGGTAACAGTGACCTTCTCTTTCACAGCCTGAAGTTTTAGAAAACATCACCACTGAGATCCTCATCTCCGTCCTACTGCCAAACGAGAACGGTGCGTCCCTTTGCTATCCATCCCCCATTCCCCAGGGCTTGGAGGGTGCTGTCTGCATCTTACTTTCCATCCATCCTCAGAGCCTACTTCAAGTTCTACCTCCTCCAGTAAGCCTTCCCAGTCACCCAACTAGAAATGACCTCTTCCATCTCCAGCTTCCCAGCCCCATTTACTAGTGCCAGAACCTAGGCAGACAAAGGTGAACCAGGCAATGCCCCCGCCTCACTGGGCCGATGGCAGGAGAGAGACAGAGGTGTAAACAGACACTAGAGCACACTCGAGGTGCCTCAGGTAGACCTGGGTTCGAGTCCTGATTCCCCTTCTTGTTGGCTACCTGGCCTTGAACAAGCTGCCTTTCCATCCTAACTCAGTTTTGCCGTCTGTAGAATGGGAAAATAAAAGCACCCTCCTCGGGCGCATAAAGGAGACGATGTTTGCAAGGGGCCCAAGGAGGTGCCTGGCACAGTCGGGTCTCAACATCTCTGTACCATCGCTGATGTTTGCATTGTTGTCTGTGTTACAGTGGAGGAAGCCAAGGGCAACGGTGGAATTACTCTAATGAAGCCCAAGATTGAGGGAGTGGGGAGAATTAGTAACCTATGCCAACCATGTCTTTCTTCATTTCTTATTTTATTAGAGTAGGAAATCTAAATGTATAGACATCTCTGTTGTGAATGACAGGAGCTCCTGATGGTTCATAAGCAGAAGTGGGAGGGGTGCCCTCTGGAGCCAACAGCAGCTGGTGCTGGAAGCATAGGGTGGGGATTGCGGCTGGGTGGATGCTGGGGCCAGAGAATGGTGAGCAAAGGCAGGAAGGACAGTCCGAACTGGGTGTGCCAGGTCCCGAGTTCCCTGCCCATGGCTGCTCAATCCCACCCCAAGCCCACCAGTCTCTGACCACATTTATTATTTCAGGCAAATTAAGATCCGGAATCCCCATATCAATTGTGAAGGCCTGGGGATTCGAGGGAGCTTCATGCTTTCTTACCAAGGTGAGTGGGTTTAAACATTCTGCCCAGGGAGGGCACAGCCACTGGGGGAGCCCTGGGCAGGGAGGCAGGGCCTGCACTCCAACACTGACCCTGCTGGTCACTCATGGGGGGCCCTAGACCAGCCTCTTCTTTTTTCTGGATCTCACTTCTTCATCTGTATGTTTAAGAGTGAGACCGTCCTGGCCTGGGGTGCATTCACCTCCAGCTTTCTCCACTCTCCTTGTTATTCATTCATTCACTTGTTCATTCAGTCAGTAATGCCTGGCACATGGTAAATGCTCAATAGACATTCGCTGAGCAATGACTCTCCTTGACAGCTGCTAGGGAGGGGAGCTGAAGCAGCATCACTCTCACCCCCCAATATTAACATTAATAATATTTAAAAGCCCATAATTGTTTTGTGCCACTGAACAACACCTTATTCAGTCTTCACACCCATCAATATAGCAGATCCTGCCGTAATCCCCATTTTACAGATAAGGAAACTGAGACCCAAAAATGGCAAATCCATATCCAAGGACACAAGCACTGTAGGTGGCACAGTTGGGGTTTGTACTCCACACCTGCCCTCCTAACACGTGCTCCAGGCCCCAATTTCTGCAGGAGCCAATGACAGTGAGGTAGGCCCATCTCAGTCAGCCAGCCAGCAGGCATTTACTAAGCACCTACACTGTACCAGGCATTGACCACAACAGTGAACAAAACCTCTGCCTTCCTGGAGTTTCTAGTCCACTCTAGGTGGGGGAGATATTGAAAGCAGAATTATTTAGAATTAAGAAAATTCACAGGCTGATTGCCTACCTTTCCATGGCCAAGGTATCCAACCACCATAAAGGGCCAAGCCTCAAGGCCAGAAGCCACCTTGGACCAAACTTTTAACTTATATTAGTCCTGATTTGCCCAAAGATGTGAATTGGTATCACTGACTTCCTGAGCTATTTCCTTTCATCTCAGAATTTCATGCTGGAGAAATTCAGAGAGGAAAGGAAGTCTCAACAATGCCTCCCCATACCACGAGGTCACATTTGGTAGAAGGGTAGGAGGCTTGGTTAACTAGTTTCAGAGGCCAGTTAATGTATGACTTACTGCCCACCTCAAAATCTGTGTACACCCTTCAGCTGGCTGTGATGGAGAATAATGAGAAAAGTGCTGGGATAGTACAGAGAGAGGCTGAAAAGTCTAAACTCAGGAACCCAAGGACCAGTGCAATCCCGGCTCTGCCTCTCTCTAGCCATGACTTCAGGCAGGTCCTTTGGCCTGAGCCCAGCTTCCTCCTCCATAAAACCCAGCAGATGCATGAATACACAGGGCATACACTAATGGACTACATTACAATGGTCCAGTTACAACATAAGCAGCTTATCTAAAATACATACTACGCTCGATTCATGTTGGATGAACAACATTGTCCATACAACTGGATGGGCTAGAGCTTGGTTTCTTTCACATATCTCTTCTTAAGGGGCATTTAGGTACTTTCCTCATTTTTTTTTTTTATCAACTTGCATTGCATAGCCCATCATTTGTACTTTGGGTTGGAAAGATATCGCCTCATTCTTTGGATCTCTTTCCAAGTTTCCTGTTTTGCTCTATTCATTTATTTTGAGCTAGTAGCCCATTGATTTCCTTTTTATAGCTTTGTAATTTATGTTTTAAAAGCTAGCTGAAGGCATGAATAAATGGATAGATATGAGATAAAGCAAGTATGGTTCAGAAAGAGTTAATAGTAGAATCTAGGTGCTTAGTATTCAAGTGATCACTGGAGAATTCATTCCACTTTGCTCTCTATTTAAAAATCATCATAATAGGGGCACCTGGGTGGCTCCATGGTTGAGCATTTGCCTTTGGCTCAGGGCGTGACCCCAGGGTCCTGGGATCGAGTCCTGCATCAGGCTTCCCACAGGGATCCTGCTTCTCCCTCTGCCTATGTTTCTGCCCCTCTGTGTCTCTCATGAATAAATAAATAAAAACTTTTTTAATTATCATAATAAAAGATTGGGGGAAACTTAATAGGTTACGTTCCTTGTATCACACTTAGTTTCAAAAAATAAAAAAGGCAGAGCATCGTTAAAAAGTTAGCAGGCTGGCACCCAGTGACTACAGCCAGGAATTTGCATTTTGTGAAGCTTCTTGAAGAGTTCTGGTGATCACTTGGGCTTGGGGACAACAGTCCTACACAATCCCATACTCTGCATGCAGATACTTTACCTGCGCCCCAGACCCCTGCACAACATCACTGTTCCCACACAGACTTTGATCCTTCCAAGAATTGTGTGTGAGTGAGTGAGTTCAGGGTCATAATCCCCCGTGGTCACCCTGTGGAGGACCACCAGCACAAACCACATCAAAGCAGGAGGTAAAACATTGAATGGACTTGTCTCCTCAACTCCAGGATGCCCTTGTGGTCACCCCAGCCTCCTCATAGAACCCTGGACTGCTCTCCTCACTCCCATGAAGACTTGGATCAAGGTGGCCATCCAGGGCAGGCTGGGTCCCAAAGGAAGTATGGACACCAGCTCTGTAGACCACCTCTCTCTGCAATAAATAAAGTTTTATCTGTGACTCCTACAGTCTGGAGTGTATCTTTGTCCCAACTCAGGAATCATTTTAACTCTGGCAGGCTGGGGAACCTGACATCCAAGCCCCATCTAGGTCATGTTGAGGTACACCTGAGCCGATCTGGGCCGTGTCCAAGCTATGTCTGGGACATATTTGGACGATATATGGACAATGTCAGGGTCATGGCTTCCTCCCTGGACTAAGGGATAAGAAAGCCAATTGTGCTCTTCTACCTACTGTGTCAGCCTCAGTAGTATGGTAGGACACCTGTTCTGTTGATCTAGATAGTGTGAGGACTTGAGGGCTCTCTGAACAGTGTGATTCTGGAGGCAAATGAACTAGGCTTGGAGTTTTGACATGACCCCTCAATGGTCATGTTTGACCCTGGGATGTGGCTTCCCTTCTGTGGGCCTGTTTCCTTCTCTATAAAATGGGGAGAATCATAGTCCCTACCTTGGAAGGGGGTGGTGAGGATGAAATGAGAGAGAAGTGTTCCTGGCACAGTGTACCCGGACAATGCCATCTGTGAATGATGTCACTGTCACTGTTGTTACCGGGCTTTCAGGACGTCAGGCCTTAGCACTGACAGCCCTTCCCACTTGGACAGTGTATGGCTGCCATTGTCTCCTGGTCTCCCTGATGCCAGCAAGTTTAGTACCAACAACAGGGCCTTTGTCCTCCGGACTCCAGGCCTGCCCCAGGACACAGAGCCCTTCAGTCACACAAGGGGCCTCCCAGGAAGGGGCAGGTGGGTGTTTCAGGAAGAGGCATTACCCAGCTTCAGGGCATAAACCAGCCCATAAGAACAGATGACAGCCTGGGAATTCAGCCAGGAAGGAGCTTCTCCTATCTGTAGGACACAACCCAGGCCCAGAAGGACACAGAAAGGACAGGACAAGACCCCACTCAAGGTGTTTACACAGGGCAGCAAACACTTCTGTGGCCAGGCCCCATGTGGCAGCTTCCCCTCACATCCCCAACTCCCAGACACTTTGCCATCTACATCCCCACGTATCACATTCCATTATTTTCCCGAATCATGACTGAGTCTGGATTTGAACCCTCTCTCACCATGAAGATGAGAAAGTCGATCACCTGTTTGGGGCGGGACCCTTCCAGCTCCCTAGGGTTGTATAAGGATGTGAGGGGAAGGAGCACTTTGAGGAACCTGAAAGATGGAGCAGGGCTTCTAGTCTTCGGTCCCATCTGGTCCCAGGGATGGCATTTCTGTCCCACCCCATGACCTTGTTGACGCCATGGGTTCAAAAGACAGGCCAAATGAGGGCACTTCTCCAAGACAGCCATGGCTCCCGGGTTCCAGCCACCCATGATCAGTTCCTAGAGGAGGGGCACCCTGGAGTTTGGTGGATAAATAACCTGCTTCCTCATCCATCGGGGCAGGGAGGAACTCCACACTGGCTCCCACAGCACCCCACAGCACCAAACCCAGGTGCCCACGGGGATCACTTGCTTACTAACACCTTTACAGATTGGGCTGGCTCCTCCCCTGCCTCTCTTTCCCCCTCTACCGGCATCTCCTGGGATCGCCGCTCAAATCAGCCACCTGCCCTCAAATCCTGCTCTCAGGATGGCTTCTGGGGAAGCCAAACCAAGACCAGCATGTGCTCTGCAGGTATGGTGCTAAGGGTGTCACAGACTTCCCCCGTCCAGGCTTCCCCGCAGCCTCTGGCAGCCCCACATGACAAATGAAGAGACCGAGACTCTGACAACTCAACATGACCACCAACCAGCCCCCAACCACTAGCCCACACCACCTCCCTCCATTTTGTGCTCCTTCATCACCTCTCCCCCTTCTCCACTTCCCATAAAGAGGAGAAAAGCTGTCTTCTGCACCAGCCTCCTTCTGTTTGGGCCCCAAAACGCAACCGCCCTCAATGCACCCCTAAGGCAAGAACCCTTAGACCAGAAGCTCCAAGACTCCACCACCTTCCTGGGCTAGGGGAGGGAAAACTCTGCCTCCTTCTGAGTCTTAGCAGCAGCAGCAAATAAAAAACACCAAGTGATATCTCAGTCAGTTATCCTGCCCCAAAGGAATTATTACTGTCTCTGTCTTACAGATGAGATCAAGTAGCACACAGCCAGTGAGATGATGGGAACCCAAGCCTCACTCATTTGTCCCAGCCTCCCACCTGAATCCTTGGCAGGACGGTGGCCCACTTTCTTACTCCTCAAAATACCAGTGACAGCTAAACAGCCTCTAGTCTCTGACAGCCACTCAGTCCCTGGCATAGTTTAGTACTTAGTGCACTTCCTGCGAGATTAACATTCCCATTTTACAGATCAATAAACTGAGGCTCAGAGACAGACTATCCTGGTGTCTCGTACCTCTCTATGTCTTTCCCACAGCTTCCCTTTCATGAAGGAGACCCTCCAGAAATTCCCCATTTCTCAGCAGAGATTAGTCAATGAGGTAAACAGACAACCCACGGGGCTCCAGCCAAATTCTTCCCTCCTGTCCAGTTTAGAGAGGCCAGATTTGGGAAGAGAAGGGAGAGCTACATGCTTCCACCAACATCCTGCTCCAGGCCCCAGTGACTCAGAGGAGGAAATTGCCCCAGAGCCTTTCTGTGCTCCAGGCAGAAGGAGCACAGAAACTTGGCAGTAATGTTGAGACACTATCAACAGAGGTGAGGGGCATCCACCAACTTTGAAAGCATCTTCCAGGGACTCCTAGGTGGCCCAGTCAGTTAAACATCCGACTCTGGATTTCAGCTCAGGTTGTGATCTAGGGTTGTGGGATTGAGCCCTGAGTCCAGCTCTATGCTCAGCGTGGAGTCTGCTTGGGATTCTCTCTCCCTCTCCCTCTGCCTCTCTTCCCAGCTCAAATAATCTTAAAAAAAAAAAAAAAAGGCATCTTCCAACCAAAAAGTCCATGATTTCATGACTGAGATTTTAGAATAGGTACATCCCATTGAAAATATGCCACTGAATCATACTAACTCTAGCCATTTGCTTTTGACATTAGCCAAAGCGAGAACTTCAGAACTATCTAACATCAACCTTGCATTTCCCAGGCAGCTGCTGCCTCCCAGAACCCACTCTTCCACCACCAGCCCCTCTGCCCTGAGTGTCCAGCTGAAGACTAGAGTTTAACACCTGCCCTGACCATGCCTCTGAGTTGTCAATGGGAAGAGAGTTAATCACAGGGAGAATCCTTAGAAAATCTAAAAGCTACCTAGAGATGAATACAAGTGCCATTCAGATGACCATGGCAGCAGTTAATGAAGGAGTCCATGATGACATGGCCAGCTGTGCCCACTCACAATGGTGGCACCAGGATTTCCACGTAAGAGGACCTTTGCATACTGAATTTCCCTTTCACTAGGTATCCAGTCCCTTCTCTGGGCCCAGATTTCAAATCCTACTTTTGCCATGGTGGACATGCTGTGCAACCTTGAGCAAATCACTTAACCTCTCCAAGCCTCAATTTTCTCCCCTCTAAGATGGAAATTAAAATGAATAACTTTTTTGAACCCTTCCTATGGTTCAGGCCCTATGCTACTGACATCTATATGAGTTCCCTCAATGAATCTTCACAAATACCAAAAAAAGTACGTAGATTTATTATTCCGATTTTATAGATCTCAAAAGTGAGGCTCAGAAGAAAAACTTGCCCACAGCTACACAGCTACTGAGTGACAGTGGTGATTTGAACCCAGGCCTGTCTGGCTGCAGAGGCATGGCACAGAACCATGTAATGAAAGGGCTGGCTCTCCCACATGTCTGCTGTCTTCCACACACACACCCCAACACACTCCCTTACTCACTTAGGTTCTGTGACTGCCACATCCTGTATCCCTGTATCAGCAGCTTCCTCGGGCCCCTCCCAAGAGCTGAAGTCCCCGCCCCAGGCTCCGCAGCTCTGATGTCTTTCCTAAGGGAAAGGGCCCACCCCCAAACCCGCAGAGCCCCCACTCTCCTACCCCTCCTCCCCTGAGGTCTGTAGGCCCCGGGCCCAGTGCCTGCCCGCCAGGCCGCAATGATGAGCGCTATCAGTTTTGGCCAGAAGCCCCTCTGCCACCTGATGCCAAGAGGACTCCTTCCTCCACTGAACAGCTCCTCTGATCACAGCCCTGGCCCCACCCAGCCGGGCTTCAGAGCTCAGGTTATAAAAATTATGCCTTTCTGGGAGGCTGGAGACAGCGACCAAGGAGATTCCGGGCAATCCTGTTATTAGAGAGGTAAGGACAAGGAGGGCACTTCTCAAATGCTCTTGGAGCGTCTATGATAATGTGAAGTGGTGCACAGGTCCTTAATGGTTGGAATCCAAGCTCTGCCACCTGTGTGACCTTGGGCGATTCATTTCTCCACTCTGAGCCTGTTTTGTCATCTATAAATTGGACTTGCAATCCATGATCCCAGACCATTGTGGTGAGGACTCAGTGATGAAGCTTTACAATGTTCTCGGCATGGTGCCTGCCCCATAGTAAGCACTCAAGCAGACGTTAGGGCTGGTATGGATGATTTAAGGCAAGAGGGGGAGAGAGCTGGGAGATGGTGTGATGTATGGAGGGCAGGAAGGGAGGAGAGGCCAACTTGGGTGAACTGGTTGAGAAAAATGCCAAAATAGGAACTGACTAAACCCTGGTAGGATGAATCGGGGTGAATTTCAGACCAGCCTGAAAGCAAAAATGTGAATATTTAATGCCACAAGAACAAATTTTCCTGTCCAAAATTCACATATACAAATGAATAAATACATTTTATTATTACCCAAAGTAATCACTGTTTTGAGCTCCTATGCCACCAGGCAACATAGGACTGGATACTACTAATTCAAGGCATTACCAGGATTTTCTCAGGTACTTCAGAATAGTCTCAGCCTTTGGGGGGCCTCCTGTCTTT